TTAATGGCAATAAATACCTATCTATATATATAAAACCCTATATGCAAGTAGACCAAACGGCAGAACAACAGAACAACCGGTCGCTATAATGTGCGCTGACCACCAGGGGGTGCACGCAGAACATGGTGACCATCAACAGCAGGTGGCAGAGTGCAGAGGGCGTCCCACATCGGGATGGTGGAGCAGGTGAGTAGAGGTGTCAGACCAAGGTGGGGCACCAGAGCCACCACTCGCACTCGCTCCTGGCACCCAGTGCCAGCCCCTAATGCTTGGTATTCTCAGTGGATGCGAGTGGCGGCTGCCAGCCCCAATCGGCTCTGAGGGCTTCTCCACCTCCCCCTTCTCCTGAGAGGCTATCAGGGCAGCAGCTGCCGCTAGCACCCACTGCTGGCACCAGCCCCAATCGCTCCGTACCATCAGCAGGTGCAAGTGGGGCCGGCACTGTCAGTGTGTGGGAGTGGTGGCAGTGGGAGTGGGGCTGCTGGAAGACAAGGGTCTGGGGGCCACGGCAGGAGAGGCCAGCGGGGGCACAGAGTATGGGCCAAGACCTGCCCCTGTGCCCACTACAGCCTCATGGCCCACAGTTCCTTTCAAGGTGCACAAATTCTTGCACTGGGCCCCTAATATTAAATAAACTTTAAAATGCCCCCTGGTGGTCAGTGCACTCCCACAGCGGGAGCACTGCTCAGCCAGAAGCCGGTCTCACAGCTGGAGAGTGCAGCTGCGATGGCGGGAGCCTCTCCGCCTCCATGACAGCACTACCAAGCAGCAAGTGACTGGCAGGTGCAGTGGGACAGGATGAGCAGCAATGGAGCTGCTCCCAGTCCCGCTGTGGCTCCTCCCCAGCCACCTGCCGCTTCAGACTGCTACATCCCTCGGAGGGATGTTATACTGTTGGGTTTCGGCCCGATCCCCGCAGGCCCTGATCAGGCCAAAGCCTGAGAGTCTGACACCCCCGAAGGTCCCAGATTGCGAGAGGGCACAGGTCAGGCTGAGGGACCCCACCCACGCACAAATCCATGCACCGGCCTCTAGTCAATAATAAACTTAAATGTAAACATAGGTTATTATTGATCCAAAGACATAAAGTGGCTGAATGGATACAAAAACATGACCCAACTATATTCTGTCTACCAGAGACCCACCTCAGAACAAACGACACACACAGGATGAAAGTGAAGAGATGGGGGAAAATTCCATGCAAATAGAAAGGAAAAAAAAGCTGGGGTAGCAATACTCATATCTGACAAAATAGACTTCAAAATGAAGGAAGGAAAATAAGCCAGCTGGAGAAAGACAAATATCACATGATCTCACTCATATGTGGAATCTAATGAACAAAATAAACTGATGAACAAAATAGATACGGAGACATAGAAGCATAGAACAGAATGCAGAACCTCAGAGGGAAGATGGGGAAGGGTTGGTGGGTGGGAAGTAATGATCAAAGAACTTGTAAGCGTCTATGTGTAACCCATGGACACAGACAATAGGTGGTGAAGGCCTGGGGTTGGGGGCAGGGTGGGTTAGATGGGGTCAATGTGGGAAAAAAGGAGACATATGCAATACTTTCAACAATAAAGATTCTGTTGTTCTTTTCGTTGTTGTTGTTGTCAACCGAGGATATTTTCCCATTGATTTTTAGACAGAACGCAAGAGAAGAGGGAGAGACAGAGATAGAGAAACATTGATATGAGAGAACCCTGCAACCAAGGTATGTGCCCTTGACTGGAATCGAACCTGGGACTCTTCAGTTTGCTGACTAACACTCTATCCACTTAGCCCAATTGGCTAGGGCAGTGGTGGGCAAACTGCGGCCCATTGAGTGTGGCTCTTCCACAAAATACCACGTGCGGGCGTGCATGTACAGTGCGATTGAAACTTTGTGGCCACACTCAAGGGGCCAAAGAGCCGCATGTGGCTCGCGAACCGCACTTTGCCGACCACTGGGCTAGGGTAACAATAAAGATTTTTTAAAAATATAACTAAGCCAAAACCGGTTTGGCTCAGTGGATAGAGCGTCGGCCTGTGGACTGGAGGGTCCCAGGTTCGATTCCGGTCAAGGGCATGTACCTGGGTTGCGGGCACGTCCCCAGTAGGAGATGTGCAGGAGGCGGCTGATCAAGATCATATTACTTCTCTGCTCAAAAAAAAAAAAATGATGACAGAGGATCATTGATCAGCTGCCTCCTGCATGTCTCCTACTGGGATGAAGCCCACAACCTGAGCATGTGCCCTGACCAGGATTGAACCATGACCTCCTGGTTCATAAGTTGACACTCAGCCACTGAGCCACACCAGATGGGCAGGAGTAATATTTTGATCATTACTTGAACCCTGTTATGGTTTCATCTGTCTTGAATGTGCTAGTAGAAATATGCATTATTATATGATACCTACGTTACTATTATATTGGGGTACTAATTTCCACCTTTCCCAAGCCTCCAAATTTCACCCACACTGCACTGAAGGTAAAAACTAATGCCCATTGGCCCTGGGTTTGGGACTCTTGAGTTTGTTGGCTTTACCATCACCATCTGACCCCTATCCACCCATTCCAGAAGAAAGCTGCCTACAAACATGGATAACCTTCCAACGTTATGTGCAGCAGTCTCAAGAGCACAAATCAGCAACAGAGCCCAGTATTTTTCTCTTTTAACACAATACTAGAGGCCCGGTGCATGAAATTCATGCACGGGGCGGGCAGCTTTTCTCCCTCTCCCGTGCTGCCGGCCGTTGGCCTTGGCAGCCGCTGTGGCTTTGTCTGGATGGACATCTGGAAGACATCTGGTCTAATTAGCATATTACTCTTTTATTAGTATAGATGTAGCCCAGCCAGAGTGGCCCAGCTGATTGAGCAGTGTCCTGTGCACCAAAAGGTTGTGGGTTCGATTCTCAGTCAGGGCACATACCTGAGTTGCAGGGTTTGATCCCTGGTCTAGATGCATGCGGGAGGTAACTGATCTCTCCCTCCAACCCCCCTCTAGGCATGTCCTCAGGTGAGGATTTTAAAAAATGTTACTTTCCTCACTTTTCAGTGCAAAATGAAATGAAATAAAACCAGTGAGTCAGGTGGAGGACTGGCCTGTGGGACTTATTCCCGTTTCCTCCCTAACTAGGTTCTCTAATCTCAGCTATTCAGGGTGGCACTGCCCTGTGAGGGATGGGTGGGGAAGGGAGACAGTTTGCTTTTTATGCTTTTATTCAGAAACTTACACCTGAGCTCTAACCCACCTGTAAGACACAACATTTCAACTTTAGCAGAACCAAGCGATTCCTAAGGTATAATCTACATCAGAACCTTGATATTTCCTTGTTTTTTAAGCAATAGGATTGGTTAGATGTTAATAGAGATGGCTCAGAATAGAGAAGAGCATAAGGCTAAAGAGGAGAGGCTAACACCTAATCCTAAACATCTTAAAGGGTACATTAATCAGTGATCATTTAACTACCCAGTCTCTATCTATAATGTTTCAAAAGGAATTCTCAATTTTTAAAAATTAAATATACTAGTGGTGCCCTAGCCAGTTTTGCTCAGTGGTTGGGGCATCAGCCTGCAGACTGAAGGGTCCCAGGTTCAATTCCAGTCAAGGGCATGTACCTTGGTTGCGGGCTCAATCCCTGGTGTGCGTGCGGGAGGCAACCAATTGATGTGTCTCTCTCACACTGATGTTTCTCTCTCTGTCTCTTCCCCTCCCTTCTACTCTGTCTAAAAATCAATGGGAAAAATATATTTGGGTGAGGACTAACAACAACAAAAAATTTATTGGGGGTGACATTGGATAATAACATATAAATTTCAGGTGTACACCTTTAGAATACAATATCTCTATACTGTGTGTGCTTACTACTCACATCTAGGCTCCTTTTGTTGTTACATATCTGAGCATCCTTTACCCTCTAGCCTTTCCCCAGTCAAGTTCTCAGTTTTTAAACTTGATATCAGAAGCTCATATAACTTCACAAATGAGAGACATTAATAAATGTAGCTTTTAGCCCTGGCTGGTTTGGCTCAGTGGATAGTGCATCGACCTGCAGACTGAAAGGTCTCAGATTCAGTTCAGGTCAAGGGCACGTAACTTGAGGTTGCAGGCTCTATCCTAGCCCTGGTCAGAGCGCAGGCAGAAGGCAACCGATCGATGTGTATCTCACATAGACGTTTCTCTCTCTGTGTCTCTCCTCCTCCCCTCCACTATCTCTAAAAATCAATGCAAAAATATAATTGGGTGCCCTAACCAGTTTGGCTCAGTGGATAGAGCATTGGACTGTGGACTGAAGGGTCCCAGGTTTGATTCCAGTCAAGGATACATGCCCAGGTTGCGGACACAATCCCCAGTGTGGGGCATGCAGGAGGCAGCCAATTAATGATTCTCTCTCATCATTGATGTTTCTCTCTCTCTCCCTCTCCCTTCCTCTCTGAAATCAATAAAAATATTTTTTTAAAAAAAAGAGGAATTCAGTTTAAAGATATACAAGTGAGGATGCCCAGCAGAGTATTGATTTTATGTGTCTAAAATTAAAAAGAGTGGTTAGTGCCAGAGACATAAATATGGAAGTCACAGCACACAGAGGGTGACTGGGACTTGAGTATTAGATGGGATTGCTTAAGGAGAATGAAGCCCAGCCTGTGTGACTCAGTGATTGAGCATCAACCCATGAACCAGGAGGTTACTGTTCAAATCCCCGTCCGAGCTCATGCCCAGGTTGTGAGTTTGATCCCCAAGAGGGGGCGTGCAGAAGGCAGCTGATCAATGATTCTCTGTCATCATTAATGTTTCTATCCCTCTCTCCCTCTCCCTTCCTCTCTGAAATCAATAAAAATATATATTAAAAAAATTTGCCTGCTACATTTGGTCAAGCATTTACTAGTAATTAAGTCACCCCCAATGATTTCTTGGGCCTTATACGTGCCCGGGCCGGACACCCCCACCCTGCAGGGAAATAGGCACTCAGCCTTTCCCAGCTCCCTGCTGTCTTTATCCTACTGACAGAGCACTTGCCACCAGCTGCCTTATTACAGCAATGTTCGCATTGCCTGCTTCCCTTGCCAGATTGTGAGCACCGACAAAGTGTAACTACCAAGAGCATGATCCCTAAGAAGCAGAGATAACGGTGAACAAGAAACTCCCTGCCCTCCTAGCCACCATTCAGGGCGTCAGATAACCTGACAAGGATGTGAGAGTCCGGGGCCCCAGGGGTGGCGCTTTTTGGGGCAGCAGTTGCGGCCTCTTTAGCCCGGGGGCGGTGAAAACCAAGAGTTCACTCTAGGACAGTGGTCAGCAAACTGCGGCCCCTTGAGTGTGGCTCTTCCACAAAATGCCACGTGTGGGCGCGCACGTACAGTTCGATTGAAACTTGGTGGCCACAGTCAAGGGGCCAAAGAGCTGCATGTGGCTCGGGAGCTGCAGTTTGCCAACCACTGCTCTAGGAGAAGGCAACCAGGGTTATGGGGTGAAGAGCAGGGAAAGGAAGCCGAGAAGTAATCAAAGGAGGGAAGAGGACCTGGGAGGGTGGCATCACTCATGTTGGAGGACGCTTTTCTAGAAAACTCCTAATACAGTGGCAAAGAGCACTTGTTACAGTTAACCATGTTCCGTATGTCCAAACATCACACATCAAGCCTCACAGCAACCCAGGGAGTTAGGCACTAGTATGACCCTGTTTTACAGAGAGAAAACGATTCACGTACCCCAGTAAACACACCTACAGAGAAATAAAGACTAGAACCCAAGCAGTTTGAGCTTGCACTCTTTGTTTATCTATACTAATGAAAAGGTAATATGCTAATTAGACTGGGTCAACCGGGCATCTTCTGGACATCTGACTTCCTTCCGGACAAAGCCATGGCGGTGGGGGCCAAGGCAGAGGCAGTTAGGAGCCATCTGGCTGGCAGGAGGAGAACAGTTAGGGGCGAGATCAGGCTGGCAGGGGATTAGGGGCGACCAGGCCAGCAGGGGAGGGCCATTAGGGGCATTAGGCAGGCAGGCAGGTGAGTGGTTAGGAGCCAGAGGTCCTGGGTTGTGAGAGGGATGTCTGACTGCCGGTTTAGGCCAGATCCCTAAACTGGCAGTCAGACATCCCTCATGGGGTCCTGGATTAGAGAGGGTGCGGGACATCCTCCCCCATGCACAAATTTTGTGCACCAGGCCTCTAGTGTGTGTGTGTGTGTAATTTTTATTATTAATTTCAGAGAGGAAGGGAGAGGGATAGAGAGTTAGAAACATCGATGAGAGAGAAACATCACTCAGCTGCCTCCTGCACACTCCCTACTGGGGATGTGCCCACACCCAAGGCACATTCCCTTGACCCGAATCGAACCTGGTATCCCTCAGTCCGCAGGCCAACGCTCTATCCACTGAGCCAAACCGGTCAGGGCATGAGCTTGTACTCTTACTCACCATGTTGTTGATCATAATACTACACTAAGTGTGCCAGCTCTATAGGCCTGATTCTGTGCCAACTCTATAGGCCTGATTCTGTGCCAGCTCTATAGGCCTGATTCTGTGCCAGCTCTATAGGCCTGAATGCTGTGAAGGTCCGGTGCTGTCCTAGGCTCTGGATGTGGCGCAGAGAAGCAGAGTCCTTCCCTCATGGAGCAGGTCAGCAGGTGGATGATGATCGGGCTGTGGAGGAGAATGGAGCAAGGTAAGGCCTCATGAACCACAGGGCAGCCTCTCGGAGGAGGCAACCATTTAAGTAGAGATCTGAAGGGAGAGAGAAGCCAAGAGGACATGGCAGGGGA